ATTTTTTATTTCTCTAGCTAAGCCCTTCTCACCAAAACAGTAGGACTTTTGTTTTGTGAATGCCAAAACCATGTAAATTTTCACACAAAAGCAAGGTAATGAACAATAAAGGGAAATCGACAAATACTATCTTGTTTTCTCCTGATTTCCAACTTGTCTGACAAGCTGCCCATAAAGCTGATCATAAACTGCTATTTAACAGAAGGAATAGCTGGTATTATCTGAATGTCTTTTTTATTTTTTGTAAGCTTCTACAACTGTTTTTTAGAACTTGTATTAGTGTTCTACTTTAACAGTAATAATCTACACCCTATTCTACAATAATGTGAGGAAAAATATACAAGAAAAATTGCTTACAAATTCTGGCTGCAACTTTGAGATTGTAAAAAAAATTTCCAATTGCCCTTCTCTCCATGTTAACAAATTCTTCATATTCCCCATTTCTTTGTGCCAGTAACAATGATCTCATCTTTGACTATGCTCAGGCAAACATTTCACCTACTGTTTTATAAAATGTCTTTTACATTAAAAATGTAAAAATAACTTACAGTAAAAAGCCACTAGTACATAAATGTACTACTGCTAATTTAAAGAATTAGCCAAACATGGTGCAAATGCCATCTCTGGGTGGACCCAGTTCCTGAGTAAGCTGCTTTTGAGAATACATTACAACTTTATTGCCTCAAAGTTTTTGCATGCTGATTTTGAGTCACCAAGAGAATACTTTCATAATTCTTTAACTGATTACTTTACTTAACACTTTAGCTTTCAGACAAATTTTCTAAAATATCCATTTATACTCTTGTCCTAGGAGGTATTAATAGCATTGATCAATGTCGTGGTTTAACCCCAGCCAGCAACTAAGCACCACGCAGCCACTCACTCACTCCCCCCCCATCCAGAAAAGAAGAAACTAATAATTATAATGATAACACTAATAAAAAGACAACAGTAGTAATAAAAGGATTGGAATGTACAAATGATGCGCAGGGCAATTGCTCACCCCCCGCTGACCGACACCCAGCCAGTCCCCGAGCAGCGATTCCCTGCCCCCCCACTTCCCAGTTCCTAAACTAGATGGGACGTCCCATGGTATGGAATACACCGTTGGCCAGTTTGGGTCAGGTGCCCTGGCTGGGCATGAGAAGCTGAAAAATCCTTGACTATAGTCTAAACACTACTGAGCAACAACTGAAAACATCAGTGTTATCAACATTCTTCACATACTGAACTCAAAACATAGCACTGTACCAGCTACTAGGAAGACAGTTAACTACATCCCAGCTGAAACCAGGACAATCAATCAAATCTGGTAAAAGCAAAAGGTGGTATTAAACATCCTTCAGTTTGGCTAAGTGAGGGAGTTCCTAAGTGCTTATTTTTTAGTGATAGCTGATGTAAGAAGGCATTACTTCTTGTCATCCAGCAACACAAGCCTGAACGCAACCAAGGGAATCACCCAGAGCTTAACTACCAGTGCAATAACTGCAGTAATGACTTGCTAGAGCCAATATATGTCTGAAAATGTGCAAAAGACCATAAAGCACAGAGACTACGGGCAGACAGCAGGAACAGAAATTGTTCATGTCACATAAGGGAATGAGTGAAGAGTTTTGGCACTGAAGAATGCAGTTCACAGAACCCAGCAAGGTGTAGGGCAGGCATGGCAGAGTACTTGTGCGTGAACAGGTGCCATCTGGAAGTCCTTGCACCCTCAAACTCTGCCCTAGGCTCCCTAACTTTCTCATCTGACTTGAAGGTCATGGAAAGAGTTCATGAGCAGCAAAAGTAATGAGATCTGATTTCTTCTAGAATTATGTGCTTTGTCCCTTAATCTTCTGCTGTCCACCTTCTCCATAAAACACCCACTGGGCAAGGCTCAAGTTACTCATGTTCTGATTAGCCAGCACGGTATGAATGAAACACTTGGCTGGCTGGTTGCTACAGAACATGATCTGCAGTTCATATGCCTGCTTTTACCTCAGCAAGGGCATTAATTTTGCTTTCCCCTCAATTCAACTATCTCAGGTTTAAAAAATTTGTAGGAGCTTAATTATTTCCAAGACCACAACGGTCTCTGAAGTATGGTTCAAATTTGCTATCAGGTTCAAAAATTACTTTGGAAAGAGGAAGAAGATGGCGAACAAAAGACAGAGACTGTGTGCTCTAAATATTTTCTTTTCTTTAGAAATGGAATTTGATTTTGTAAGGGCAGACTGCAATACTATATGCTTAAATCCTGGAGAAAGCTACTAACTCATCACCTGAAAATAAAAGTAATGGATTAAAAATTGGTTGTATAATTCAGTTGCAAGGTCACAACAATCCCTAATATGACCTGAAAAACAAATGCAATCCTAGAATGTAGTAGTTGAGGAACTTCCAAAGAGATGAGGACTATTAATGCCATTGTAATGGGTCCTGGTGAAATGACTTCTGAAATAGTGTCAAATCTATTTACGAAAAACAAGTTCAGACTGGAACACAGGCAAATAAGAATACTAAGATGGTAAGAGAAATGAAGAACTTGCAGGCTGAGACTAGAGTACCTGAACTTGTTTAGCCTAGCAAAGTGAAATCTAAGAGAAAATATTCTAATTCAGAAACTGGGTGTAAAATCCAAGGAGGAAAAGTAGCCATTGAAAGTCAGGTAAAGGACCTGTGTTGGTGCAAGAACAAACAGACACAAATTAGTCATACAAACTGAGGTCAGAAGTAAATCAGATGGTATCTACTCTTCAGAAGAGTTAGAGCAGTCTTCCTATGAGTACAGCTGAGCTACCAACTCAGTATTTGCCTGCCACAAAGAAGAAAGGGGAAAAGCACCTCCAACCTCTAGACCATCCATAGGCCTTTAGCTTCTAATACCAGAGCCCAGCAGTATTCCTCGCTGCTGGCTTGCAGGATGTGTTCTGTTTTTTCATTTTTTGACTTCTCTGTCCCCACAGGAAGTTCCACTGGTAACTAAGCTTAAGCTAGTTAGCGAAGCTCCTTTTATAGCCAGTGGAGATGCATACTCTTTGAGGGCATATCATCCCATTTATCTTTGCCACTGAAATATCTTTCCTTCTTGCTGTTCAGTGGAACAGACTGATCTCATTTAGGAATTCTATTTCTTACTCCACCGACTTCTTGCTTAAAATACTCAGCTCTGTGTGAAAACTCACTGTCTTCACTCCCCACCACCCGTGGTGGGGATACTTTTACTCCCTTTCACATTTTGCTGTTTGCACCTTCTGCCCATAAAATTCAACTTTTTAATAGTCCTTATCTCAGTAAAAAGAAAAGATTTAATGCTTTCTGGAAATGCCTTCATACACAGTATTCCATAAAGAAAAGAAATTGCTTTAAGTCTTTACCCAGGCTTTTTACTAAAAATGATCTTTCATTTTCACCTAATCAAATGATTCATTTTCTATCTTCTCAAAGTTACGCAGTGAAACAAGAAAAGCCAAAGCTATTCTTAAGTCATTATTGTGCAGACTGCATGTACTTATTCGTAGTTACTGCTTGAAAGTCTCAGTAAGTAAAATGTATATGGACAATCATCTCCATGAAAAAAATGTATTAATCCCACACTGTTATTCTTTGAGATACATCCCACATACATTCCATGACCTTTCTCATTATTTGGGGTTTCTTACCCAGCTGAGCTCTCAGTTGGTGAAATAACTCTTGGCTATGTTAACTCTATGGTGTTGGGACACCTGGGTACTTCTGTTGGACCGTCCTTGAAAGGATTATTTTCCTATGCCTTCAGAAGGACACATGTGCCGGAAAGCTGAACATAGCTTCCTAACTTCAGCTAGTGTGCAACAGGTAACCATTTCTTCCTAGGTTAAATCTAAGTCCAATTTTTATCATCCAATAGGTATTTTGGTGGACCTAGATAACTGAACTGGAGGGGGGATTTACAGGTGGGAAGCCAGGCAATATAGTTATTGGCCCAGTGGTACAAAAGATGAGACAGGCAGGTGGGAGTGCAGTAGCAACTTTATAACTTAAAAATTTATCGAGAGCGATGGCTCATTGACATTATAGATGAACAACAGGACTGGGGAAATAGTATTAATTTCCGTTCTGTGTTTGGGGTGCTTTATTTGCATGTGCACAGTGTTGTGTTGTATATGAAAGGACTTTGTTCATTGGCACTGCCCATACATATTTCCTTTCCTTCTTTCAAGAAACACTTGTTTCACGTTACATTTTCTTTAACAAAAAGCGTTTTGAGCCTAATCTGTCACACTGCCTCAAGAACTAAAAGTGGTCAATGCTAACCTTTTAATTAAAGCTGTTTTCTTGTAATGACTGAAAGCTAGTGACAGGTTTAAGCTATACTGGCTAAAATTCAAGCTAAAAAGTATTCGGTGGTCTTCCTTTAAACTCTGGTGTAAAGTAACTCTAATCACTACATGATTTAATTCCACGCCAAGACCATAGAGCCTGTTTTATTATTTTAAATATAGCTCCTCTGACCTTCTAATGAGGACTGTCCTACCCCTTCAGCCTCGGCTTCACTCCACAAGCCACCGCGCACCGCCCCGCTGCCGAACCCTCCTGCCTAGCACCAGCCGCCACGGGCCTGGCCCCTCCTGGCTCCCAGCCCTCCTTCCCAAGTCAGGAATGTGCGTTCTCCACAGCGCAAGCCTTACTAAGGTGCCCCTGCCCCAGCACCGCCGGATTTTGAGGGACACTGTGGATAGCGGTTGCAGCAGCAACCACCCGTCGCATTCACCCGTCCGCTCTCCGGGGTTCAACACCTTCGGCCTTCCCCTCAGGGTCTCGCCCTCCGGGGCGCACCCCCATGCCCGGCACCGGCACCGGCACCCGCGGCCGCCGCACCGCGCTGCACGTCCAACCAGGCGGCAGCCCGGGGGCAGCGGCCCTTCCCCACCGCCGGGCGCCGCTTGTGTTTACCCGCTCCTCCCGGTAACGGCTGCCGCCGGGCCCCGTCCCCATAGCAACGCCGGCGGCCTCGGCCGCGGCCCGAGCGGCGATGGCGGGGTCCGGCGCGTCTCACCCGGGGCAAGGTATGGGGGCGAGCGGTGAGGGACCGCTGGGCTCCTTGCGTCCCTCGGGGGCTCCACACAGCCGCCGGGCGCCAGGATCCCTCCCGCCTCCTACAGCAGCCCTGACCCCAGCCTCTGCCCCAGGCACGCCGCGGAGCGCGGGCGGGACGGCACCGTGCCGGGCGCGCCGCGCTCTCCTCAGGGACGAGGCCTCCCCGAGCTCGTCTCGCTGCGGTGGCCCTCGGCCTCCCTAGGCTTGACGGGCGGGTCCGACACTCGCCTTTTTCGTCCGTTTAAAGAAGGTGTCTGGGGGAGGGGGGGGGATCGTTGCTGGGGGTTGTATGTGTGTGTCTGCCTGCCTGCCTGCACGTAGGGTTTTTAAGAGTGGGGTTAACTTCACAAGGAGAACCCGAGAGCCTTTTGTGGCAGCCACGACAGAGGCCTTCTGCGGTCAGTTCCTTGAGTTTCTAATAGCGCCAGGAATTAATTAAGATGACAAAACCTTTGTTTTCACCTGATTTCCCTATTTCCTTAAAACTTGCGAGTTGTCTTCTTCAATTCCCCCCTCCCCACTTCAGGGATTTAAATGAGTTAAAAGAATCTAATCATTCCTAGATAAGTTTATTTCAAATTATAGCAGCCGCAGCATATTGCATTTATCATTTGAGAGCTCAGTTTGGTGATTCTGTGTTTCTTTGCTAAGGTGTACCCCTTGGATACTAGTTGAGACCATGGGAGCGGCGTTGGCAAGAGCAGCTCAGTGGACTGCTGCTGGTTCTGGAATCGGCACACTTGAAATCACCCCTTTGAACGAATCTCTTTTAAATCAAATTATTAAGTTTGCAGAGGACTTCAGCACTAGGCATCCCCAGGAAGCAGCGTTTGTCTTCAGAGAGCCCCTTGAGTGGAAAACACAATTGGGCTGTTCAGTATTTGAAGAGGGTTATGAGATCCAGTAAGTCTGAATTAGTCTGGTTTGAAATACTGAAGGTGAACTTCGAAGCAAAACTGTGCTCATTTAGCATAAAGAAAACCTTAGTGTATTTGGGAGGCTGAAATGGGTGGGGTTTTTACTGATATATATTGAAAATTTTCATTTAAAATTTGTAGGGTTTTTTGAGAGTTTGAGACTATTCTATATCTTGGTTGTGATACAGACCTGTTTAGTTGGTGATTTATACAATTTGCACTGTCTGTTCCTAAGACTTTTTACAACATGTGTCTAACAGTGATTAACCCTGTGATTTCCATTAGCGTTAGGAGTGGCTCCTGTGTGGTGGGTTCACCTTGGCTGGCTGCCAGGTGCCCACCAAAGCCACTCTATCACTCCCCCTCCTCAGCTGGACAGGAGAGAAAAATACAACGACAAGCTCATGAGTCGAGATAAGAACAGGGAGATCACTCACCTGTTACTGTCATGGGCAAAGCAGACTCGACTCACAGAAATTAGTTTATTGCCAATCAAAAGTCAGAGTAGGATAATAAGAAATAAAAACAAATCTTAAAACACCTTCCCCTAACCCCTCCCTTCTTCCTGAGCTCAACTTCACACCTGATTTTCCTTACCTCTTCACCCCCAAGCAGCACAGGGGAACGGAGGGTGAGAGTTGCGGTCAGTTTATTTCACTGTTGTCTCTGATGCTCCTTCCTCCTCACAGTCATCCCCTGCTCCATTGTGGGGTTCCACTCACAGGAGACAGTCCTCCGTGACCTTCTCCAATGTGAGTCCTTTCCACAGGCTGCAGTTCTTCATGAACTGCTCTAGCATCGGTCCTTTCCATGGGGTGCAGTCCTTCAGGAACAGACTGCTGCAGCAGGGGTCCCCCACAGGGTCACAAGTCCTGCCAGAAAACCTGCTCCAGTGTGGGCTCTTCTCTACGGGTTACACATCCTGCCAGCAGCCTGCTCCAGTGCAGGCTTCCCAAGGGTTCTCAGCCTTCTTTGGGCACATCCACTTGCTGATTTTCAGTGAATAAATGGGTTTACCTTGGAAGTTTTCTGAAATACAGTTTAAATAAATTGTGTATGCTTTATCATGTGAAGCTTGAATAACATTCAAGATTCTTCTCTAAAATTTACTCTTTATTAAAGTTCTTATTTTAAAAAGATATAATTTAATTTTTCTAGTGGAGCAACTGTTCAGTCTGAAGCCAAAGGTAAAGATGGCCAGCCATTGCTTCTCCTCACAGCATCAACTCTCAGAGTTCGCAGTTTTGACCAGCTGTCCCATTTGCTACAAATTGCTATGGAAAAAAAGCTAAAGGAAGCACAGGCATGCCTTGAAGGTTTAATTTCCTCTTTTTTTTTTTTTCATCTTTCCTCTCTCTTAAAAAGTATGTCTTCTTCAATTCATGTTTATGAAATGTGAAGAAAGGCATGCCTTCATTTTAAGTATATAAGAAGGTGTTGATTCATGAAAGTGGCTAGAGGTGCTGATCCAGAACTTAACAAAGTATCTATTTCTTCTTTTATTTTCAGAGAAATCAGTAACAGACAAATCTGGAATAAAGTTAAAATAAAACTGTTGAATCCCATATACAAATTCATGTGTACTGAGCTATCGCAACAGACAGTAGGTTTAAATTTCTGAAAAAGAATGTCTTATTGGAGGCTAATAGCAGTTTTTCTTATGTTTGTAGTTTAATCCTCCTTTAAAATGTTAAATCCTCAGAAAATAGCCAAAGAAAAACTTACATGCTTAAGACATTCTTAGCTGCACAAGGTTCGGAGTGAGCACTTCCAGGTCCTTCTCACAATGGCTTTTAAAATACAGGTACAAGTACTTCTACTGTGTCATATTCAAGTCCTAGATTTTCAAACTGACAAGAAGACCCTTAATATGCTAAACTGGATATCCTCCTCTCATTGGAGGTAGAAGAGTTCACTAATATTCTTTGATAATATTAGTAGAAATTGCATCTGCAATACTAAAATATAAATGCGTATACTGGATCAAACTTCAGATCCATGTAATCCAGGGTCCTGTCACTGACAGTGATCAACCATGAATAACAGGGAAGAATAATATGGACAGGATATCATGCAGAGGCATTCACAGATGCATGGGACTTCATTTGCAGGAGCAGAGCAAAATGTTTTTGTAAAACCCATTGACATCCAGTTATGTCATTGTTTACCAAAAAGAACAGCTGGCATAGCTGAAGAAGTAATGGAGCCATTGGGAATGCTGCTAGAAAATGTGAAAGATATTTTTTGACAGTAAATCATATTTCCAAAATGATTTTTCAGTGAGTTAAACCCATTGATTTTCTGTTTTGGTGATCAGCCAAGCATATTTTCTGGAAAGGGGGCTGTTGATAAAGGGAGGTATTTAATATTCACCTCTTGGTTGAATGAATCTTAATCTTTGTTGTGAAAAGCAATTTTGTTTGCTATGAAAAATTTCTTTTTATTCTTAATGTTTTCGTATTTTTTAAAATGCATTTCAAATTACAAGAGGTATATGAAAGAATACATCGTAAAGTAATATTTGATGAATAACTATGCACATTATTAAAGTTCTTATTGTAAATTAATAGCATCAGAATTATTAGGCAATTGAGATAAAAAGTGTTTGTCTTGCCTAATCATTTTTAACATAGTATCACATTATATGATTCTGTTTCATGTTTACAGCTAACAGAGATCCTATAATGAAAATTCTTGGCCCTGAATGTGGGACTGTTGAAGGAGAAGATATGTCCATGTTGCATTTACTTGAAAAAGTGAAAAAAGATGATGACCCTGAAACAGAGATGAAAATGAAAATCTGTCTTCTTCTTCATCAGCTGGATTTGCAACTGCTTAGTAGTTCTTTGAAACACATTTCACAGTGAGTGCATTTCAAGTGGAAGCTAAGCATGTCAGCCAGTGGTTGGTTTTTTTTTTATTGTTAAATCAGATTGGTTTCAACCCACAACATGTGCTTTTGGTGTGACATGAAGAAATTTATTGAAATAACTTTCACTGTTCACTAAAAAAACCATTTTTTTTCTAAAGATTTTGTTGTAGGTGTGGGTACGCAAGTGTGTGCCTGCGAGTGTGGGGTTTTTTATTGCATATGTTTTGCATTTTGGTAGCAAATTGAAGTCATTTGTACAAACAACAAAGTTGCAGTTAAATATTTTCAAAGAAATGTTTGTTTCTTCATGGAAGCATATTAAGTATTACATTGAGTCTGTTTCGTAGTTGTAACTAAGCATAACTTCATATTAGCTATAGAGCTAAAATTTCACTAAACTACAATGACAATGGAAGATGACCCATTTCCACATTTTTGTTGCTACTATTAAGACTCAATGTAAAAGAAAAAAATTATGTAATATTCTCCTTTCATTTCTCTGAGTACATCCTTTTGATGAATACATTTTAGAACATTTTCTGTTAATTGCAGAGATGTAAGACTTAATCCAGCTGCTATAAATAACGAAGTGAATCTTCTCAAGAATTTCTCTGGGAAAGGAGAAGATACAGTACTGGAATCATTGGAATATACATCAGGTCCACATCTGATCATATCTCATGTTTATATATACCCTTATCAATTAATTAATTATCTTTATTAATTAATTTTCATAATAAACTTCAAGTGTTTATTTGTACTTTAAACTTAATGCTGTTCTTCAGCCTTTACTTACAGTAATAATCTCCAATTATATGAATATCTTCAGGGGAAGTAGAGGAAGTGAACTGAGTCCCTGATCCTGAAAAGTGCTAAGCACAGTTGCAGTTCTTGGTTGGATTGGGCCACAGGTCACAGAGCTTTGAATGATTAATTCCTAATAGTATGAAGTCGTAAGAGTAAGATATTGGTTTGGGAATTTGATTTGTATACATGTTATATTAATCATCAAGCATAACTATTAAAAAATACTTTTAAACTGGATAAAAACACTAATGCTAATTCATTACAGATTACATGTTCTGTAATGGATGCCGAGCTCCTCCCTGGAGACAAGTGCATGGAGAAATTTGTTATTTAGTCATCAAACCACATGACACTGATCCTTTGTATATCACTTGCAGCACAGCAGGAGTGTTTTTAAATGGAGTAAGTAATAATAAAGGATATCATGGAGTAATGAATGTTTTTATATGCTAAAATAAAAAATCAATCAGGTTTAGGGTAGTGGTATTGAGGCTGTAAGACCTGCAGAGCTAGTTTATTGGTACAGAAGGAGAAGACACAGTAATAAATGTGTGCTATTTTTCCTATATGTTTTGAGTGCTTTTTCTATAAGTTTTATACTAGGAGTGTGTTCTGCACTCTTTGCTAGCAGTGTTTGTTTAAACATGCCCTAACAGTCCTTCACACTATTCCTATTCCAGGGTACTGTGGGACTAGATGCCTTTCTAGTGCCTCATTGCTCTTGATCTGAGGTGTAATATTGTATGTGGCTAATATAGCTTGCTTTTGTCTTTTTATCCATGATAAGGAGTTCTTTCTTTTTTCAGTGGAAGCTTCTTGGAAATTATGTATCTCTCTTCTTCTACTTTTCATTTTGGTTACCTCTTTCCCTACAGATAGGTTTTATTTAGGCATAATAGTCCTTATGTGTGTTGAGCAGTGACCAGAGCTCTTACATTCATTTTGAAGAGACACTGATGTCCATCAGGCGTAACTCCATAAATTGATTTCCTGAGAGTTAAAAAATCCAGGGAAATTTTGACTTAGCATGTTTTCAATGGATGAAGCTCATAAAGCTTAGGCTAGTCAGGTCGTATTATTTTCTGATCCTTTTAGACATCTGCCATACTGCACTGGAAGCTCATATTTACTTGGTTGTTTGCCATAAGTCATAAATTCTTTTCAGTAGAACTATACACAGTACAATTAACTGGTAGTAATTACTTGCAGAATTCTGTGTAAGATCTTGATTATCTGTTGGGATCCATGGAGGTGATCATGCATCTTTACAAAGCATTATTGAAGTTTGGTGGACTCTGCTGAGCATGAGACTTCTGTACCTAATTCATTACAGTATGACCTCTGTGCTCTTTAGCACTATTTTATAATGCAGATTAAAATACCTGTGTAAGGCAATACTATTATAATTTTAAATTTATTCTTTTTTTAAGGGTCAGCAAAAGGGTAAAGATGACATTGACTATGAAAGAAAAAGTGATGTATATAAAGATATTGTCACATTTTTAAGCAAGAGATCACCTAGATTTGTAGAAAATATGGCTAAACAGGTATGTATTTACTGATTCTGGGTGTATATTCTACTTTGTACAAACATACATTGTATATTGGTAAGAATTACATTATAAACGTGGCTGAACATTTATGTTCTTCATCAAAGATAAATCTGTGATTAAATGAAGAATTTTAAAGACTCTGAAATGCATTTATTATTTTTCTTTGGGTTTGTTTCAGTTTCTGCTAAATATGTTCCTTTTGTAAATAGCAAATAATACACTATTTCATGTATTGTTCTGTCATACCTAATGAAGTTTGATCCAACATGTGAGGTCAGTTTCTAATTTTGCATAAAAAGTTTTGCTCATCTTCGGGTGTTATTCTTTATGGAGCACTGGAAATACTAAAGCAGGAAAAAATGATCTCCTTACGGAAAAGGTCAAGTTTTTATGACTATTTTTCTGTGATCAAAACCACTTACATTTTAATCTTCATTCTTTGTAACCCAAATACAAATAATAGCCCAACATTTTTCCAAGAACTGCCTGATCTAAGTATCAGAGCTGAGTTTAGCATCCAGCTTACACACTATGTGTTGCTTCAGCCACTGTAACATGCAAGTATTTTGGATTTTATTTAGAGCTCTATATTAGCTAGAATCACACAGTGCCACTACAATTTTAGTTGTTTCATCATTCCTGATAAAAACTCTTTTTTTCAGATTTCTGATGTGGTTGTAACAGATTAATAACTTGGTGGTAAAAATCATTACAGGCTAAAACCTGTTGAAAGTTTTATTGTGGTTATTTATATGCAATTTTAATTATTGCAAGAAGGAAGTAATTAACAGGGAAATTTTCTTATTCTTTAGTTTTGATTTTCTAGGATGTAGGGCTGATATTTATTTTTCTTGAGATACAGATACTTGACAGTTCTGAAAGAACAGAGCATTTCAAGTTGTACACATAAATACAGTAGCTTATATTAACAGTAATGGAATTAAATTTGTAAGTTGTTCCGTTTGAAAGTGCAATAAGTTCCAAAATGTGTTTTATTTATCCCATAGGCAAGTATTTTTTTAATGTTATATCTACATATTGGTATTGGTTTACATTTCATAAATGTGACAATATATGAATGTTTTCAGACATAATTGCTGGTTTAATGTATTTTCAAAGTGATTTGGCTTCATTTGATGGTCATGAAAGGTAAAATATGGTAATATTGTAATAATTTTTTTACAGTTCTAATCCTAAATATTAATACAGATGAATGTTAATATCGATAATAGAGATAATATACCTTTACTGGTTTTCTGTTCTTATAAAGATACTGTAGCTATTCAAGAAATGTGTACACTTACTAAATAAGAGTAAATAAATAGAATTCATCCTGTTTTCCTTCAATTGTCATATAAATCACTTAGTATTCCCTGACTGTGTAAATAAGTTTATGCTGAAGAGTATAAATTATACCTTTTTAATGGTTTAGGAATATCATATCATATTGCCTTGCTGAAGAGCTGGTTTAGTACATTCTGCATTCTAAAACTAGGATTTAAACAAGTTTAATACTGTAGAGCTGCAGAGCATTTGTTTTTGAGGGAAAATCTCTACTTTAAAACTCTGAAAAGCAGAGAAAATCTGTATTTCCAAGGTTGCCTATATGAAATAAATTATGACTGGAAATAGTTTTGATTTTTTTTTCTGAGGAGAGGAGAGCTTCAAAAAGCTCATTACGTAGACATATATTGCAAACCCAATTAACTTTTAGAATATCTTCTTGGCCTTGTTTAAGCTAACATTTAGAATTGCTGTGTTGGCATATAGTGCTGTAGGAAACACACTTTTTAACATGTGCTTAGCTGGTCAAGCTACAGCATCAATTCCCCTGTGATTTGTCTAGTTTATTGTTAAAGTGTCTTGTCTAGAGTACATTTTCAGAATGAGAGAATTAGCATGAGTTAGTTTATGATTAGACAGTTGAGTCAGCAGGCCTGGAACAGCCGATTCACATCAGGGACTAGTCAAAAACAGACCATACTGTGACAGTCTCCTTAAAACTGCCTTGAATCAGATACATAAAGGAATGTCTTCACCTATCTGGTAGTGACAGCTGCAATAATAACAATAATAAGTAATGATTGTATGCTGTCTTTCCTGTAAAAATTGAATATGTTCCAATAGAGAATAAGAGTTGACAAGAGTCTTTTCTGTTCTGGGTATTTTTGATCAGCCATGGTACTAGACACAGACAGCTGAAGGATTGGTAGGTGCCACTCAGCTCCATTCTTGTATGTGACTTGTTCAACAATGTTTTGTCCTGAGAGACAGAAGATGAAAAAACTGAAATGGAATGTGTTTATATTAATTCTAAACTATATCAAATTAAATTAGTTGGAACTGAAGTCTAGCAGTTTATCATAGCCTATTTTCAGTTTTATGTTCATTATTTTTTTGTGGGAATTTTTTGTAAATCCTTTATGCAGGGAAATAGTTTTTATATAAATGATCCATTGAAAGCAGAATGACTGACTTTGCAATTCTAGATCTTAAAACTCATTTGGAATTAGGTTCTATAAAAGTGCTTGTGTCACAAATTATTTAACATATTAGAAATTGAACAACACCCAATTTTCAGCTATGTTCAAGAAGTTCCAAGTTTAGCTAGTTCATTTATTTCAAAAACTTTAATTTGCACACAGTAACAGCTACTTTCCAGATTAACGTTTCATTCTTTTAAAGGCAATCTGATTTTATGCTTATAATCTAAATCTACCTTTAATACATACATTTTAAGCACAGCATCCTGGAATTGTGCTTATAACTTGTTGTTTTAATATGCATTATTCATATACCAATATGACTGACAAACTGTCTCCTTCTTTTATTAGGAATATAATTTTTTTAAAGAACCAACATATGAGAAGAATTATCAGCGTATGGAAGTAGTTGATGCTAAGGTCTCTGGCCAATCCCAGAACCTTTATGATCTTACTGAAAAGAATGTATGTGAGAAAGTGAAAAGTTTTGCAGCAAGAAGGAGATCCATTGACAAGAAAAAATTAGAACCATCTATGAAGTGGAAGAATACTGGGCTTTCTGCTTCCCACAGATAAGTAGTTATCTTTATAACTGATTTTTCTTGTAGATCTCTCTAAACTGTGCTAATGATTGGACTGCATGTTATAGGTTTGCATTATTATCTTAAGTTAGGAGCAATAAAACAAAATTTACTACATGTTAATTTCTAAGAGAGTACAGACTACCAAAGAGTTTTCTTCCGTCATGCAACAACTTTGATGATGGTATGTCATTTCCACAGCAAGGCAGGGAAATATCTTGCAACCATCTGCAGTACTGGTCCTCCAGGACTGTGATATTATCGTATTTTTGGTGTAAAATGCCCTTTAAAGCAAGACAGAGTAGACAATCTAATCTAAAGTACACTTTCTGAGGGAGGCAAAAGAGATCCAGGATGGAAAATTAAGATGACTCTTACTTATACTATCAATTTTTAATGATTTCATATTATATGAGCCACTTTTCTAGCTCTGCTTAGCAACAGTCTTCACTAATGAGATTATCTCAAAGTTTGGACACCCAAAAATAGAGTATACATGTATTGGATATTGTTGGATTTGTCTTTTGAAATCAGAACTCCATTCTAATTTCATGTTTCCTGATTTTGTGTAAATGAAGGAAGAATAATATCTGAAGGAAAGGCTTTGATTACCACCCTACAAAAAAAGGCATTATCTTCTCAAGTCTGCCAGTTTGACATCTTGCAAGAAACATTTTAAGAGATTTTGGATGTGACCTACAGTCATCAGTTAAAAAAATGTGGTTTTCCAGGGACAAGATCTTATCTTTTTCCACATAGAGTCTAGATGTAGTAAAATTGGCTGTAATCATGAGTAGTATTCTCTTTTATTGTTGTGACTGTGATAGTATGACCAACCCAGGCTCGACATTTTGTTTTCACAACATTGTAAATTAGGGACAAAAAAGCACCAGAGATTATGCCCAGCTAGGCCTCGGAGTCTTCTTCAGAATATGAGGAAAGCAAGGTATATTATATTCAGCATGATCAAATCTCTGGAACAGCTCAAGTGTGTGTAAGAACTAGGTAGACTAGAACTCTTCTGCCTGGAAAGAAGTTGACTGGGGGACAATAAGACAGATAACAAAAAATCATTAATGGAGATGGTAAATAGGGAACAGATAGTTACTGTCTGTTCTAATACAAGAATAAAGGGCATCAAATGGAAATGAGGCAGTGAGACCAGTTCAGAACAAAGGGAGAGATTTCTTCATACAACACATGGCTAAGCTCTCAAATTCTATGCCACAGCATGGGAGAGGCCATTTGTTTATGTGAGTTCACATTCATGGAAGAAAAATCCGTCCAAAACTATTAATGCAAGGACAATCAAGAGTTCCCTGAATCACAATTTGCTGAAGAATATTCTGGAAAAAATAATTTCCATGTTCTTCCATTATTCTTCTACTGTTACCTAGATAGCTGCTATTGGTCATGATTGGAGATGGTATCCTAGGATAAATGGACCTGTGGTCTGTCTGCATATACTCATTTTTTGTTCTTGTATCACATACAGATCAGCATAATATAATTTTTCTAATATTTCACTATTTTATTAAAGCAAAATTAGTCAGTTAAGACAGAGCATACTTTCTTTTTAATGAAGTTTATTGTGTAGGATCATAAGCTCATATGTACTGACATATGTGTCCAACCATACCTTTTTGCTTCTATGTATATATATAATAATTTTTTTTCAATAAAAACAAATATTTTAGTGACAAGGCTGCAAAAAAAGATACTGAAGAAGAAGGGAGAAGTAGTACTGTGTCTCTGAAAATCAAAAAGAAAGCCAGTGGCATTTCTTCTGAATCTGTTAAAATACGAGCTTCGAAATGGTATGGGTTACTTATTTTTCTTCCTTCAATTTTTTTATTTTCATTTTCTGTATCTACAGTAACTATCACCATACTTAGTATTTGGTATCATCAATTATATATTTCTAATTCTGTTATCAGGCAGTGTTGTCATACCTGTTTAAAATGTGCTTGTTCATACTAGATTATAACTGTTTAAAATGGGTGATGCTGTTTATTTGTTTTTAGTAAAACATCGGGCAGGTTTGAAGACATTAGTGAAAGTTCGTCAGAGACTGAGGAAGATGAAGAACAGCCTGTACGTCATCAGGAAGGAAACACCGATTTGCCATCGGAATACTGGGGAATTCAGAAACTTGCAAAATATTTAAAGGTAAATAAGAAGCGTTGATAAATTGTATTTAAAAAAAAACATTCTACTCTTTACCTTCTACATCTGAGGACACCAGACCAGCTCCTCATCCTTTCCACCTTCCATATATTTTAGAATAGCCCTGCTATGTAGTATGTTCAAATCCTGGAACTGTGGACTTTCCTATCACACACCCGTTTCTCCTGCATTTTTTTTATCTGCTATTTTTGGCTTACATAGACCCTTAGATTAAACCATCTGTTCAGTGTTATTTAAAACTTAAGATGGTATAATTTCTTTATTAATTATTGGGTTTCTGTTTTGCTTTTTGGGTGAAACTTTCCAAGATATTTCTTTATGTGGATAATAACTTTCAAGAGTTTTTATTAAAACTGAATACTTGCCTAAAGTCTTTCATCAACTATGATTAATGCATGACTGAAGTAATTCTAACGTGGTCTTGTGTCTGGATAGATGCTGTTAGTGGACAAGAAAATGTATGATAAACAGGCATCCTCTAAAACGAAAAAAGGTTTTTTTACACAGACTTGTTGAAAATCTTTTGGAACCTATAAATATAGATGTTTAGAATTCTGTGTATGTCTGAAACACGTAAAAAAACCAACAACCCTGTACTATTCTGGAAAATTCTAAAACTAATTATGTTTTTCCCTCAGGAGAAATTCCTTTACAAGTTTGTACTGGAATTTATGTACTGTAAGTTACTAATAAAAGCGCTGGTTTATTTGGTTTTTTGAGTACAGCTACAGAGTATACACATCCGACTGATAAAATGATGGTGCTGGCGTTTGGTACAGCAGAAATACTTGTGAGGAATAAGAAAAGCTTTGGCTCCTTCCAGTCCTTTAACCGTTGTAGAAGAGTAACTCAGTCTTTTAAACTGTGTTCAGTGCACTCTTACTGCTTGTTCTCAGTTCATGTAACATTCAGCATGTAACTTGCTCAGGCTATCCACTAATGCTGAATACACAATATATACTTTTTGCATGATACAATTGTTTCTATTTGCATGTAATTACATTCAAGGTGGTGTTTTCAAATCTTTCAGTCTACTAATAGCTTCCTTCTCTCTGTCTTATGGACCATCTCTTTGTACTTTTCTGAGAGCTCAGAGAAATAAACATGCTATTAGTAAAGAGCCAAGGTCCTCCTGGAGAGGATACTTGAAATTCATTACTAGTGATGAACTCCCTGAAATCTTTTCATTGGCCCATTTATGGACCACCCTCTTTACTGTCAAGGCTCTTCTCTCCTGGTTACATAATTCTGAAACTCCCTTTCCTCTCTAGATCCTTCATATAATCATGTTTAGATTTTAGTATTGGACTTGATTCAATACTGAAATGTATCTACACTTGCATGAAACCATTCTGAATGAAAAGTGAGAATGGCAAATAGGAAAATATATTTTTCACGCTCCTCTTTTAGAAATGAGTATATTTTGTTCCAGTTGTCAACAAGCAAAATTACTTCATGGCTTAGAACTAGAAAAAGAAAGGGGAGCATTGTTGATCAAATTGTGAGTACCTGTTAAGAAGTGTTTATAATACAAAATTCCATAATATGAAAAAGGTTTGTTATGAAAATTCAAATGTATACTTGTTTATGTATTCATGCACACCCAAGTCTTCCAATAGTTCTTTAAATATTAAAAAAGTACTTTAAGATGTACTTAAAATAGTTCTTTGTTGATTCTTAGCTACGTAAAGCAAGAAATCCCTAGTGTCAGATAAAGCTGAAAAGAGATGCCTCAGTGGCATTTCAACCACAGACAGTGGTTGAAATGTTTTATTGATGGAGTGCTACTTTAGCTTGCACATGGAATTCATTTTAATTCAAGTATAAATACTGCACTTCTGGCCAGACTTAGGAGATTTTTTGGCATTCTTGTTGTTCATGTAGGCAAGTGTTCATGACACATGCAACAGAAGAGAAAATAAATTTATGACTATGATATTTAAGTATCTACAAGCATATTTATATAGAAGCACAAATTTCAGAGAGCTTGTGTGTCTTCAAAGGTACTATACATGGTTTGCATGTCTTAAAAATATAATAAAATGCCTTAAGTAATAGATGTTTGAGATACCAAGTTAGAAAATACAATAATTTGTAGATGCAACCATTTTTTTTACGTCTGCTAAAGTAAATGTGAATCACAATTCAGCAAGACCCTGTAAAAGATCAATTTGCAAACACAAAACTTCCATAAAACCTGAAAGATACCTAGGTTTTATACTAATGTTAGATTACCATTAAAACTTAAAAAGGCGGTTGCTTCCTATATAAAGCAAACTTGCTAGATCCTGTGAATTTTGCCTGTAGGCTATGTATTTTTATACCTCTTCATGGAAAGAAAGTTCCAGCGCAGGGGAAATGCCCCTCTGACTTTTTGCCCTTCTCCATTCCCTGTCCTTTCTGGGAAAGAGCAGCCATGTTGGAATTGCTCCACTGGGAAGCAGCTGCTTCTGTGGTCTGGCTCCTTGTCCTACCTTCAAGCTTCCGAGGGCTGTGAAGCAGAAGATTGAACATGTGTGCTCTTGCCGTGTCTCCCCATTGACTTAAGAATGGGCAGCGAAGATAGATCAGTGAGCTTGGTGATGGTGTTGTCTTAGGCATCTTTTGGGGCTAGAGTAGATAACATTGGAATGAAGTGTTCTGTTGATGTTTGTAACAGATTTCACACTATTTATTAAAGTAGTGCTTCTGAAGTATTAGATTTCTAGAGGAAGGACTACATTTTACATGTGAAAAAATTTAGGAATTGGGTGAAGGGGTCACATTTTACAACGATCTTTTTACTAGAAATGGGGAATATCAGGTAGAAGTGCAGAGCTGTGGCAGAGCTTTGGCTGTTCACTGAAAAAAGAAAGGAGAAAAAAAAAGGTGAGAGCTGGGCACAATGCTTTGTGCTGCCTGCTGTTGAGCACTGGTTATTGCCAGTTTTAAGATAAAATTGAGATGTTGAGAGGTGAATTGGGGCTGGTGACTGTGCCAGGAATAACTCCAATCTCCAGAATAAGTCTTTAATCCCTTAAGCCTTTGTGCTGCTTGGTTTTGGTTCCCTGTAAGGGTGTGATTTATATGTACACCTATGCCAGGGTGAGCTTTGGATAGAGTTCTGCAGGACCATGTCAGTTACAGAATTCTTCCTTCAGCTTCTTATCTGGAAAGTCATTCTAATTTTGGCTATATTTCAGGGATACACTAGTGAAACCAGTCAAATCTCACACTTCATGTGAAATATCCACTAATTTCATATCTGTTTTGAATTACTCCAGTTCAAACGACTTCATTCTCAGAACAGCATTGTGTTTCTTTTCTACTTTGGAATCATAGCTGGACAAACCTGCTGTATCTCCCCAGGTGTTTGCATCTTGTGCCCCATCCAGGAGCTGGGGAAAGGCTGTGGCACTGCACAGGAGCTAGGGAGGATGTGCCCTGATTATGGCCTTGAGCACCAGCTCCCAGGTGTCCATGTGCCCTGGTGCTGCATAGCAGTTGATGGCTGGGAAGGGAGGACGTCTGTCCTATGACTCAGTGAAATCTCATTCACTGGACAAGGAAAAGGTTGAAAGAACTGTGGGATACACCGGGTATTCAGGTCTGCTCCACAGCTGCATTTTGGCAGGAACTTTGGAAGACGGCTACGTTTAAGCAACATTCCTGTAGCTGGCAGGAGGCCTCTCTGTATTGGGCTTATATTACAAAAAGATGGCAAACAGACCAGGGAGGCAGGAATGTACAGGAATATTCCTTCTGGTCTTTGCCTCTTTCCTTTTCTTTCTCTCCAACCCCTCTAAAAGTCCTCACTTATTTCTAGGCAATTGGGTCAAGGAAATGAAAGTCTGAAGAGACCAAAGCTATGGGTCTAGTTCTTACAGTGCATGTATTGCAGTGAGTATTGGCTGGGCAAGACCTACTGCCCATCACTTCTGCTTCCCCTTTGCAGTGTGAGCAGAGCTGAGCCAGGAGGATGTAGTGTGATTGCTGCACCGGAGACAGTTTACTTCCTCTTCTCAGGAAGCTCAAATTTGTCAGTTAGGGAAATACAACTATGTATTGGCTTGCAGGAAGGAATAGTGGATCCCCAGCTAAGCTCTTTGTACATGGAAGGCACTAGCATTCTTGGGGAAGAAAGGTACAGGTTAGAAATGCAGAAAGTCAGACAGTGAAATGATGCAGAGAGGCTCTGCCAGGAGCTAAGATGCAGGATCTGAAATGAGAGGTTCATGTAAATATTGTTGATAAACAGTATGGGATAGTTTTATTACCCAGAAAGAGACAGGAAGACGTCTGGAGGTTGGAATTTAGGGGCTTGGGGCAAGCCAGGGTGCAGGAAATCCGTGTATGCATGAAGGGTAGGAATGTGGACAAGGAAGATTCAACCTATTACAGAAACAGGGAGCCTATTTCAGAACATTTGAGGACTAAATCTTAAATGGCAGTTGCATGTGTGGGGGGAGTTCTTCTGCACTCTGTGTGCAAGGTTTACAGTGTGACATTTCTCTACTTGGAGGGGAAGAAGGAGGCAGTCAACAACTGCTTGGACACTTCCCTGCTATGCATTAATATAAAGTCAGTCACAGTTTATCTCTAAGGTGAGACTTGTCATATCTGAGGTCTAAGGTTTTAGATATCTGAAAAATAGATGTCTTCCTCATAAAGAGGAAGGTAGAAAACATCCAGCCTTTCAAAATAAATTATTACTTTTCTGTGCAAATGAAAATTGTGTAGCAGTCTCCGCCCTCCTGTGGTTTAACAGGTGGTGTATACAGCAACTCTTTTATATGAACCAATTATAAATTTATGACACTTGCAAAGATATTGATGTGGCTTGTAGATTTTTCTCAAAATTTGTATGAAATAGAGGATAGACGCAGTATTTTTTAACTGCATAATGGAAAAGTATAGCTTTCTTAAGTTATAATGGTATTGGAAACATTCCAAATTATTAAAATGACACTAGTACTCACTATAAAATTTAAATTGGCTTCATA